TATGACCAACATTTTTTCTTTTAAGATAAGCAATTAACGTGGAAAATGTCGAAATATTAATAGATTCATATAAAAATATTGTGCTCTTTAGCATGGAATATTCTGCCCATAAACTTCCTGGACTCTTCAGCTTATCACTTCGTTTAACGAAATAAGCCAACAGAACCTTCTCGGTAACACCTACATTTCTCTCACTGCACCACTGTTTAAAAATGTACGTATTCTCGTACCGGATCCTTGACTTTTGTGGTATTACCGCCGAACATCCAATGTCCCATGCTTCTTCTATTTCGTCTATTAGATCGCTGTCGGAATCGCTCATAACTGAAGTATAAAAGCTAGAAAACTACAGACACAATTTGATGAATTTATTATTTTCAGTTTTGACAAATAACAAACTCGTTACCTAGTGATGTAAGTACCTATACAATACCACTTCGATCATTTCGATTTATTCCGCTCGTTCTTTTCTCAGTAAGTAGTATTTCTAATGATTGCATAATTTTTATTCCGATCGCGCAAAAAATGTTATAAGCACGTCGAACGTTAAGGGTTACCGTTCTCAGACAATAATTGGAGTCGTCGCTGCGCTCCTCCTCCAAACAATTGTCTTCGAACGGTAAAAATCCCTTACCGTTCTCCATACTTAATATACTATTTATTTGTTAGTCAGTTGTAAACGTTGATTAACAAGACAAAACGCAAACGGGTAAACGTCATGTTTAAACGCTACTGACTTGTAAAACTGACAGCAGACCTGTAAAACTGACAGCAGACTTGTAAAACTGACAGCAGACCTGTAAAAATTTTACAAGTTAGTAATCTAGTAATTTCATTGGCCAGAATTAATGCGAAGTCTCTGTTACATGGATAACATGATATTTTAGACATTTCTTCAAGATCAATTTAAGAACTAATTATTTACGTTTACTATTGTTTACAAATGAGTAACAAATAAAATATTGTACATTATACGCCAGGTAATAGTTTTTACTGGCTCTAGGATCGCTAGTCAACTTCTCCTATCGCCAGTAAAAACTCACTTACCTGGCTAATAATGTAAAATACTATAAAATTACATCATAATTGCGCTGGTAAAAGAGTATCCTAGTTACAGAAATAACAAGTATAAAAAAATTGTCAATAAATTAAATTTGTTCCATTCTGTTCCATTCATATAAATCAGAATCCACGAAATACAAACATAACACGTTGAAAAATAATTGTTACTCAATCTAAAATGGTGGCGCGTACGTTACGTAGTTTTACCTCGAAGGTCTGGCTACGAATTCAATACGCGATCGAAAAAAGGCAGCGTTCGCCCTGCATAGATTCTCTTGGAAGGTTTGAGTAAGAATGCCGCTCCCCCACCAAATTTTTTATAGTCGCCGATCTGAAAAACCGAATACGGGCCCCTCACAGAATCCGATTTGGGCTGCGTTTTTTCTACATGGGTCGATAATCGATATAGTGGAGAATACCACCCTCATGCTCCGTCGCGACGATTTTTAGAACCGCCAACACTTTAACCTTTCGACTCTTATCTTCTTGAACACTCGCCCTTATCTTAACGTGCCTTATTTCTCGAATATAAGTTCTGTTCTCTTTCCTTATGAGGCGGTACATGTATAAAATAATCGCTATCGGCCAATTTGTAAAATCAAAATCTTTAAATCCAAAACATCCTTAAAAAGAATTTATATATAACTCCCTCTTCCACTTTATCGGTTCTGTTGAGGATGCAGACTTTACTGTGTCTTGTCACCTTCTCGGTAAGCATAATTTCCGGGTTTCGATGGATAAACACCGCCCGGAAGTTTGTAGCAGCCGCACCGCTGAAAACCTTGGTTCCCCAACTTCGACCTTTTTAGTCACTTGTTTAACTTCTTGAGACGCACTGTCTTCCCATTGGTATGTTTAGGCGAGTTATGAATTTATTTATGGATTGTTCTAAGTAATACCATTACCACCTAAATAACAAGGCCTCAGTGCTCTGACGTCAATAGCTTCTGACGTCAGCTAAAGAAGGCTATGCTATTGCGCAGCCACTTGGCGCAATTCAGTCTTGCCTGCGGCGTTTGTCTGTGTAGTAAAGTAACGGTACAGCAAGTACATTCATTTACCCCTAATATTGACGTAGATCTAGAAACGATAGAAAAAGAAAGATAATTACAGTTTGATACAAAATTTAAGCCGTGGACACTTGTTGTATCCACTTGATTCGTTAGTCAATTTGGTTTTCTATAATTATTTTATTTTCATTAAATTGCTACAAGATTTTGAAGAACAGTTTTTAAATGTGTATGACAAACGGAACTTCGTGACACAGTTAGTTTTAAAATATCTTACAGAAGAGGGTTATCTGCTTTATTTTTGTGGATGTCAGGATCAAAGCGAGGAAAGAATAGCGAATATTATAATTAACTCAACAACGAATACCTTGCTTAAAAATTATTGTGGAAACGAAATAATCGATTAAAGAAAGGTAATAAAAGCAGAAAATTAAGCACGTTAGTAAATAAATAATATTAAAATTTATTATTGTGTTAAATATGTACATTAAAAACAGTTTTATGGTCATCAGTAAGATTATTAAGATTAATTTTTTATATTCCACATTATGGTTTTTGCTTTGAAATTTCGTTTTCCATTATAAAAAGTCGAATGGGGTGCGACAAAGGGCTCAGTTCATGACTGTCAAACCCGTTTTTACAGGAAGCCCTTTTTTTAAATGATATAAGTACATAAATGAATGCAATTCAACGTCAATGCACTACTACGGCTGGCCTGCTTATGGTGACGTCACGTCGGAGCGCGGAGGCCTTGTTATTTAGGTGGTAATGGTAATACTCGATCCCCATATTGCTCTTGCAGACTTCGTTCACTTATTATGTGTACTTGCTTGATACAACATCAATTAACTCCTGCACACTAAACTGGCAGTCGCTACTAGATTCCATGGAGGTACTCATAAATCTATTCCATGGCATTTGTTAAATGAGGGTTTGAGGCCTGGGGTAACTGTACATACTTTTCCAGGGGTCTTTCTCTCGGTAGAAGTGATGATTGATGCACAGAAAAACATGAGTTTAAAACCTAATCCCCCTGACCTAATTTGGCCATACTCTTATATCACTGGCACTCATCCTCTTTTTAGGTCTTATTTTTTTCTGATTTTCTGCAGTCACGGAGAACAACAATATTACAAATATCTCCATTGAGAAAAAAGTGGCCTCGTCTCCTTTCAGTACCTATACTGAACCACCTGATTGTTTCTATGACTTCCTTTCCTAGCGTATCACTGTCACTATCCGTCACTGGCTTCTCGCAAGTGAAGCAGAGGTCTGACCCAACAATGGTTTCATCACTATAGCCGTCCATTTTTCCCACACGTTATCTTTACGAACTAATATGACTACAGTACAGACACTACACTGATTTACTATCGCACTCGAACGGCTCACGCCCACAGTAACGTCCGAAGGTGATCGAAGCGTCCGAGCAAACGTCGGCACACGAGTCGAGGCGACGAACGCGCGCAGGGTCAGCTTCCCACGCCTTCATCCACTTCGCCGACTTTGAACTCGGAATTATAAAATACAATACTTATGGCCCTTCCACGCCTTCGTAGTTTTATAAGCAGGAACATAATTCTGGTGTTGCACATTTTACATCAATCAAAACCTACGGAAGAGCATATTAGTTGCACACAGAGACTTGCTATAACTAGACCGCGCGTAACGTAGATTTTACTATAAACGCCTGTTGTCAAGATAGGATAGGCAACCAACTGTTCATCGCGGGGCGGACGTACGTTTTGCATCTTGCTTTAGCATATGTTTATTCTAAATTTTAGTAGCAAAAAAAGATAACATATAAATGTTAACTGTTTTAATCGAATTTATTGGTATTTTATTTGAACTAAATTAGTATATAACTGCCTTACTCTAGTCCTAATTTGATTTATATGTGTATTTTGGTGGTGAACACGTATGAGAAAATATACTCTTAAAACTAAAGATGTAAGTAGTAAGATATGATTATTTAGCGGATTTTGATTCAATATATGCCTAGCCAAAAACCCAAATGGGCTGTAACTGTTATTTATTTTTCTTAGACTGCTGATAACCATTTTGTTTACAACGCGGTGTGGTGTGAATTGAATGAAAAACCTGAACACATTTTCAGCAATTTGGCAAATTTTTAATGCATCGCTTGATACGTGCAACAATCCTCCACGATTTTTTCTAGTTAAAAGCTTTAAATGACTCTCTGATGCGAATATCGCAGATGCACATATGGAACATTTAACAGACTTAGCTTTTTTTTGTTGTAACAAAACCTGAAATATACTTAGTACCAGTAAGTACTTAGTTACGTCTATACGTAATAGGCAAATAGGTACTGCCGTTGTCTTGCTGGTAAAGGATGTCGAATAATAGTTCTACGTTATTTTAAGTGAATGGGAAAGTCGAAAACGCTCGGTATTGCATTATTGTTTAACACCTTCGTCGGTACCTTTCTAAAATCGGCTTCATTCCCCGCAAATGCACTATGGTGGGAGTAAATTTTTCTCTTCGAATCTAATCCATTGGCCCTTTAAACTTTTATCCGTTGAAAATCTGCATATTATTTAAAATTTTATCGACAGAGTACATGTTGATACGCACGAGTTAACCTAAGTTCATTGGTTTATTCGCAAAAGAAATTTATCTGTTTACTAATTCGAGCTAATCACGAGAATGATTAATGAACGGAACATCTAAAATAACAGGTTATTTCATTATATTGCATATCATCTCTGCGATTTTTGCCCCGCGGTGCATTGTGTGTTGCATACTGTGTCGAAGTCTAGTTATAGCAAGTCTCTGGTTGCACATTCACATTCTCTTTAACCACATTTAAAAAGTTCTCTTTACAAACCAAATAGTTACTCTATGTTTATTTAAATGTTAAAGAAATTATACCGGCTTTGCATCTTACTTAATTTTTCTTTTCAGATATAACATCATAATATTAGTCGTAACTTACGTTGTGCCAATTGCATCGATGACATTTACTTATGCCAGAATCGGACTGGAGCTTTGGGGATCTCAGAGTATTGGAGAATGCACTCAGCGACAAATGGAAAATATTAAAAGTAAACGAAGGGTAAGTTCTTATTTAATCTCTTCTCTGAAATAATAGATTCTGTCTGCAAATAGAATTAATTTAATTTTAAGGAGCACAAATTAAAACTGTATGATTTGTGCGGTCCACAATTTAAAAGGCAAATATTTTTATTCCTTCCGCATCTTTTGTCAAAAAAACGGTATTATAACCCCAAGTTGTTTGTGTGATATCTTTATATAAACCTATCTGTTTGCATTTAGCTTTTAGGCATCTGCCATCTCGCTTGGGAAATTCTTGTATTTCCCTACTTTGCTTGCTTAAAAAGTTTTAATAAAAGTCTTCGCAAGGCAAAATCCCCTGCGAGAGTAATATAAGTAGTCCCGATAGGGCACGATTGCATCAATAACTAAGATAAAAAATGCTGAGGGATAAATATTAGTATTCAGATTAGTATCTACCTAATCAATATCGTTCCTACAAGGGATTCATCATTCAAAAGGAATTTGTGAGATCAACCCTACAGTAACTTAAGAAAAAGGATCTTTCGAACCTACTTTTAAGAGTGAAGTTTCTGGATTGGATACATACGCTAAGAAGATTATAGGTATATAGGTACATGCATTAATATTCGCTGAAATTACCACACGTGCAATTATCGGGGGTAAATACACAAGAACTTGATTTTTTATTATACCTGAATCACAATCTCCGTTTTAAACACTCAAATGCGTGCGAAAAAGGGCCTTTAAAACACACGTGCTTTAAAGTTGCTAAGTAACGATACTTCAAGTATGACTTTTGAAACTGTCATCTGGATGAAATAAAAAATCCTCTTAGGTCCCTTTCTGTAAATGCAGAACATTTTTTTGGCTGTTGTACCTATCCTTTGGTTGAAGCTTTCACAAACGCGCGTAATTTAGGGTATGCTTCCAAATCTGTTCCACTTTTTAATCGCAGCATTGCTTTAAAGTTTTGAATGAATGCACCAAAATATAGAAGATTTTTAAATACCTTTGACATTTCCTTCATATATGCCAGCATTATGGATGCATTTAAGACTTTATTCGTAAGTAACTTCCTATTCATCCATGGAAACAACTTTTCATATTCTTTATAATAGGCTTTACTGGATTTGGATTTTACACCTACCAACGTTTGTTTAGATTTTACAACAATCGATTTAATGGACGGTGTATTATCTTTTTCAACGGAAATCGTTTAATTCACAAAGACGATGATTTTTTAAGCAAACGTCAAGTGACATTTCCATGGCAATCGTGAAATTACGAACACCCAGCCCACTTAATTAGACATGTTTTCGAGTATAACGTCAATATGACTTCATTGTATTTCCTATTTTTAAATTATACTGCAGGTATAATAAAAAATACTATAAGATACACATGTATAATTGGTCTTTAAAGCACTTGCAACGTTAAAGGCACTCCGCTTTGCGTCGTGCCATTAAACTCGTTGCGCGTGCTTTAAAGACTTGATTATACACTTTTATCTTAATATACTATTTAATCGAATAATTTTATTTTTACACGAAAGTTTTGTTTGCAACGGAGATCAAAAGTGTGATATCATGTGGTTTTGATCGCGAGTTTTTTCCAGGAGGCAACAAAATTTGGGCCAATTTTTAATAGTTAGGTATCCTAATTTAAAACCAAGATCGAGTGTATTTTAGGGAGATTAATAAGACGGTAAATTTTACAACCACTATATATTTTACGCATTCCTACACGCATTTTTGTTGATGATGAAAAACTACATAGCTTTCAATCAGATAAAAATTCATCTGATTGGTTAAAATTTGAAACAATCACCAAGCTGAAGAGAAGAATATTTTTGAGATGCTGTCACGAATGTTAGTGATTGAAAAGCTTAACTAGCATGAGTGAAGCAGCACCTCAAAAAAAATTTACAAACACTTCGACTACGAATGGCATTCGAAGCCCGAAGGACTATTCAATGAATCAGAAGAAAAATTAAGCGTAATTACCCACGCGAATGTATATTTATTTATACGTAATAATCCCGAAGCCCATGACATTATTTCCATTACGATAATAAAAGCATTGAATAAAAACACTATAAGAAGCCTAACACCGTGGAAATAAAGCGCGACAGAGATTGAACTGAGAATATAATGGAAACACTGTCAATAGTGTCGATTCTTGAACTGAGAAGAATGAGAATTTGCTTTCCTCCTATTTACCGCAATGAGAGTTCGGCGATCACAACCAATGCGGGTGCAAGGGGATTTGTCGCGCTTTCTTCCATAAGCGTTAGGCTTCTTATAGTGTTTTTATTCAATGATAAAAGTCAAAATAAATTAGTTGCTTTTCATTTTGTTATTGATTCTATTCGATCTTTTGTGCTCCAAGCTAATTCGTTATGAGTAATCAGATTAAAAGATGTGGTGATAAGTCGGTTGCCGAAATTGGTTAACAAATTAAGACTATTCCGGTTAATACGAAAAATGTCACATTTCACTGGTCGAAGCGTGCAATTATATCCATTCCCATTGGCTCACCAATTTGACATCGCGGCATTTTACTGGTCCAAATGTGACAAATGTCAAATTATGCATTTAATAATTTATTGTAATGTCTTCGTTTTTCAAAAGTAATGCGATTGTATTTGAACCTCACTAATAAAAATTGAGGGGTTATTGAGATCACTCCAAATTTCCGACCGATTTGGTTGAAATTTGAAACAGATGGTTTCGCGAGCCGATTCGAAAATGGCAAATGCCTTTTTGGCAATATAAAATCAATGTTCCCTCTAATAGTCCTGAAAGCTGATTTTGTAAACGATTGGAAAATGGGAAAACTCCTTTAAGCTACAAAACTTCTTTGTAATAAATAGCACAGATATACGTTTTGTCATCTGTGTAGATAGGGTATGAGCAACAAAATTTTGATTGGGATAAGGCCGTGGAAATTTTTAGGTCACATCTAATATTTATTAGTTTGGCAGCTCGCGTTAATAAGTTATTGCCCATTGAGTTGATTGTGTAATTAAATCCAGTTGTGGACTAAATAGTAGCCGTGTTGTTGATCGGTGCGATTGGTGAGCTTCCACTGGCTGTCCTTTTTTTATTTCAATTGGTTTTATCACTTCTTGAATAAAACAAAAACCTTAGTTATAACATTTCTTATGTAGTTTTCTATTCTACAAGGGCGTTGCATTTAAAAACAAAAAGTTAAGGTCATCCAGCTAAACAGTTAGTTCTAATAAGAGGAGACATTACTATTAATTATTAAATGAATTAATAATTCATATTTGTTATATGTATAAGCACACAAGTTAATACAACGATTGCTAACGGATCAATAATCCTTTTTAACACAGAATCGGCAATGTACTTCTCCCCTAATTCATCATCGGACATCTGCACTTCTACGTGACAAATTTCGCAAGTGGTCGACTTCATTACGATCGCAGAAAAATCCAGACAGTCGGCCCGCATGGCGTTACGAAACAAGTTTTGTCGCGATCTCTTTCGCGTGGACCTAAAATCAATTATGGACATATTGATACATTGCTTCGCGTGTCGATTAAAGTAGAGTTTCGATTTTTGGCATAGGGTAGGAACCGCTTATTGTAATTTTGTTCAAAAGACGAAAATCTATACATAATCTCTCGCATAATCTTTTCAGACTATTGTATTCTTCGGAATCAAGACTACGGGGAGTGCCCATGACGACGAATATCCTCGTAATTCTCGGAAACGAAAACCTCAAAATCCTCGAAGACCTCAAAAGCGCCAAAACCTCAACATCCTCAAAATTCTCGAAAACCTCCAAACTCCCTAAATCCTAGAAAATGCTCAAAATCTTCGAGAGTTTCAAAAATTCTCCCTCGAATCCTTGAAAATCCCTGATATCCTCAAAATTTTTGAAATCCTCGAGATCCTTAAAATCCCCGAAATCCTCAAAATCCACGACATTCTAGATAGATCCTTAAAATCCTGGAAATCCTCAAAATCCACGACATTCTAGAATAATCTTGAAAATTCTCAAAATTTTCGAGAACCCCGAAATCCTCAAAAAACCTCAAAATCCACAAAAATCTTCAAAATACTCGAAAGACCAAATATTCTTGGAAATCCTCAAAATCCTCGAAATCCTCAAAATACTGGAAATCATTAATATCCTCGAAACCTTCAAAATACTCGAAATTCCATAAATGCTTGAAAATATTCAAAATTCCTGAAAATTCCAAAAAATCCTGAAAATCGTCACAATTTCTGGAAATCCTCGAAAATCTTCGTAATTCTCGAGAACGAAAACCTCAAAGTCGCTGAAACCTCAAAATCCTCGAAGTCTTCAAAATCTTCGAAATCCTCAAAATTCCAGAATTTCACGAAAATCGCAAAAATTCTCGAAAATCCTCGAAATCTTCAAAAATCCTCAAAATCCTGACTTCCAAAAATCCTCAAAAACATCAAAATCGTCAAAACGTCAAAATCCTCGAAATCTTCAAAATCTTTGATATCCTCGAAATTCATAAAACTCAAAACCTCAAAATCTTTAAAATTCTCGAAATCCTCAAATTCTTCAAAATATTCGAAATTCTAAATATTCTTGGAAATCCTCAAAATCCTCGAAATGCTCGAAATCCTCAAAAGCCTCAAAATCCTCAATATCCTCGAAATCTTCAAAATACTCGAAATTCCATAATTGCTTGAAAATATTCAAAATCCTTAAATACTCAAAATCTTCAAAATTCTTGAAATCATCAAAATAATTTCCCGAAATCTTCAAAATCGTCGAATTTATGGAAATCTTGAAAATCCTCAAAATTTTCGAAATCCTTAAATCCTCGTAATTGTCTTCTAACTCATTCAAAATTTCAGAAATTCTCCAAAATCCTAGAAATCGAAATCCTCAAACTCGAAAATTCCAAAAATTCTCGAAATTCCTCGAATCCTCAAAATCCTGGAGAATTCGTAATCTTCGAAATCCTTTAAATCCCCAATATCGTCAAAATCCTTGAAATCCTCGAAATCCTTAAAATACTCAACATCC